TTCTTGTTCTCGGGATAGCTAAAAGGCAATCAGATGGACATCTTAGGTTTCTCGAGTTTGAGGATGTGGTGAATTAATTAGCTAGGTATGTACATTGCAGATTAGCAATGAGGATTTGATGAATGAACGGGGTCCAATGTAGGTTACTTCTTGCATCACGTGATGTTAGATTGTATTTTAAGTAGAGGTCACAAAGGCAGGTCCTGTATAGTACATCTAGTGCAACTCTACGAGCAGAATTATGAAGCGGATTTAGTCTGTTTAGTGTTTCATTCGTAACTGATCTGCAAGCAGCGTCAGTGGTACAATAATAGCTTCAACAATTTGCAGGCACAACCGAATGCGAAAACAATGTTTCTTTCTGTATAAAACCCCTATTTTTGATTTGATATTCTTTGAGATGTGATGAATATGGGTTTGAAATGTAAATGTTTAAACAATCAGTTAACCGAAGTACTTGAAGCACTCAGTTTATTCAATGATATTGCTTCTGATATCCGTAATAGGTGAAGGGAATGAAACTGTTTTTTGTTTGAAGGAAAGAGCATGATCTTCGCTTTTGGGGGAGTTAGGAGCAATTTTATTGATGACAATGGACGTTGAATTAAGTCGAAATTATGTTGCAGATTCTGTTTGACTTCATTTGGATATATGCCAGATACTAGCACAACAGTATCATCAGCAAAGAGATTTAATTCTGAGTGATTTAAATTTAGTCCATTTCCACCCCAAAATGTCCTGTAACTGCCACCACTGCAGAAGGTCTTGATCTGCTCGTCCGTGTAAAATAACTGCTTAACTCAATGCTATTGGGCCTTACCAGCTGAAATAAAGTCTCAACCATACGTACACATTCAAAAGCAACCTGCAGAAACATCATAATCTCAAAACGTCCTGAAAGAAGAGACATTTCATCTCACAGTGCTCTCACTTCGGTTAAAGGCATTAGTGAGGCATGTAGTTGGGTTACATATTAAGAAAACATGTGCAGGACATGTCACTTACAGACATATTGTGTTGCTAAAATGTCTATCTTTTAGGAGTGTTTTTGCAAACATCATGCTTTGAACTTGACTCCCTTGTAGAATCACCCAGAGCGCTATTAATAACGCAATGGGTTTATATTTACACTTGCTTGTGTGGCAGTACAGTGGGTACAGATTATTCCTGACTGCACAAGTTGTTGAGCATGCCACGTGCCTCTGCTGGCCATGCTGAGCCAGGGTTAGCAGCGTCTGGTGACGGCTATTTTTGTGCTCTGATCACAGTCCTTGTCTCCTGCTCCCACGTTGCACGTGCATAGTCACGCACGTTACGTGATCTCCCTGAGGCTTTCATATTTCGCCCCCTCCACCAACTACCACCCCCCCCCCATCCTCATTGTGACAAAAAAAAAACACTCGTCAGTTCACCTCCCAACGCCCTCCCTCCCTTCCCTTTCCAATCTTCCAAAGCATCCCGTGCAACATCAGATGACATCGGGGAATGATAGGACAGCGGTAGGAGTGCGGGAGAGAGCGAGGTTAGGGGACGAAGTGCTTGTTCTTGGTGCTCACGGATCCACGTCCAGTCAATGGACACCCGGCACTGTCGATGGACACCCGGCACCGACAATGAACACCTGGCACCATCAGCTTTCAAAGCAAGCTCGAGCACATCAGCAACCGCCAATGCCCACGACCATGGATACACTCTAGGCGTTGAGATATATTGTAAACACACTGCTGGGTTAGGACATGTCCACACTTGTACGGATCATGGGGATTATTTGCAGATACTCTACGCCTGTCAGTGTGGATTCATGAAAGTTGGGATCTTTGATGTAGGAGCATAAGAGTATTACCCACAACGTAGCACCACAACCTCATGAAAACCTGTTTTGTGTGGTGGTATCCTCACAGCACTAATCCCTAAAGAGGACAGACGCATTTTGGGTGAATTTGTTATTTAGTCATCGATACAGAATACCAACACCAAGCACCACCCAGCCCCAATCTACACCCAGCACCACCCAGCCCCAATCTACACCCAGCACCACCCAGCCCCAATCTACACCCAGCACCACCCAGCCCCAACCTACACCCAGCACCACCCAGCCCCAATCTACACCCAGCACCACCCAGCCCCAACCTACACCCAGCACCACCCAGCCCCAATCTACACCCAGCACCACCCAGCCCCAACCTACACCCAGCCCAGCACCACCCAGCCCTGAATCTACACCCAGCACCACCCAGCCCCAATCTACACCCAGCACCACCCAGCCCCAATCTACACCCAGCACCTCCCAGCCCCAATCTACACCCAGCACCACCCAGCCCCAATCTACACCCAGCACCACCCAGCCTCAACCTACACCCAGCACCACCCAGCCCCAATCTACACCCAGCACCACCCAGCCTCAATCTACACCCAGCACCACCCAGCCCCAATCTACACCCAGCACCACCCAGCCCCAATCTACACCCAGCACCACCCAGCCTCAACCTACACCCAGCACCATCCAGCCCCAATCTACACCCAGCACCACCCAGCCTCAATCTACACCCAGCCCCAACCTCCACCCAGGCCCAACCTACACCCAGCACCACCCAGCCCCAATCTACACCCAGCCCCAACCTACACCCAGCCCCAATCTCCACCCAGTACCACCCAGCCCCAATCTACACCCAGCACCACCCAGCCCCAATCTACACCCAGCACCACCCAGCCTCAACCTACACCCAGCACCACCCAGCCCCAACCTACACCCAGCCCAGCACCACCCAGCCCGAATCTACACCCAGCACCACCCAGCCCCAATCTACACCCAGCACCACCCAACCCCAACCTACACCCAGCACCACCCAGCCCCAACCTACACCCAGCACCACCCAGCCCCAACCTTACACCCAGCACCACCCAGCCCCAACCTACACCCAGTACCACCCAGCCCCAATCTATACCCAGCCCCAACCTACACCCAGCACCACCCAGCCCCAATATACACCCAGCACCACCCAGCCCCAATCTCCACCCAGCACCACCCAGCCCCAACCTACACCCAGCACCACCCAGCCCCAACCTACACCCAGCACCACCCAGCCCCAATCTACATCCAGTACCACCCAGCCCCAACCTACACCCAGCACCACCCAGCCCCAACCTACACCCAGCACCGCCCAGCCCCAACCTACACCCAGTACCACCCAGCCCCAACCTACACCCAGCACCACCCAGCCACAACCTACACCCAGCACCACCCAGCCCCAACCTACACCCAGCACCACCCAGCCCCAACCTACACCCAGCACCCCCCAGTGTCCCCACCCTCCAGTGCCCCCCCTCACCTCCAGTGCCCCCACCCCCCAGTGCCCCCACCCCTCAATGCCCCGACCCCCCAGTGCCCCCCCTCACCTCCAGTGCCCCCACCCCCCAGTGCCCCCACCCCTCAATGCCCCCACCCCCCAGTGCCCCCCCTCACCTCCAGTGCCCCCACCCCCCAGTGCCCCCACCCCTCAATGCCCCCACCCCCCCAGTGCCCCCCCTCACCTCCAGTGCCCCCACCCCCCAGTGCCCCCACCCCTCAATGCCCCCACCCCCCAATGCCCCCCCTCACCTCCAGTGCCCCCACCCCCCAGTGCCCCCACCCCTCAATGCCCCCACCCCCCCAGTGCCCCCCCTCACCCCCAGTGCCCCCCCACCCCCCAGTGCCCCCCCCACCCCCCAGTGCCCCCCCACCCCCCAGTGCCCCCACCCCCCAGTGCCCCCCCTCACCTCCAGTGCCCCCACCCCCCAGTGCCCCCACCCCTCAATGCCCCCACCCCCCCAGTGCCCCCCCTCACCTCCATGCCCCCACCCCCCAGTGCCCCCACCCCTCAATTCCCCCACCCCCCCCAGTGCCCACCCTCACCTCCAGTGCCCCCACCCCCCAGTGCCCCCACCCCTCAATGCCCCCACCCCCCCAGTGCCCCCCTCACCCCCAGTGCCCCCCCACCCCCCAGTGCCCCCCCCACCCCCCAGTGCCCCCCCACCCCCCAGTGCCCTCAGCCTCCAGTGCCCCCACCCCCCAGTGCCCCCACCCCTCAATGCCCCCACCCCCCCAGTGCCCCCCCTCACCTCCAGTGCCCCCACCCCCCAGTGCCCCCACCCCTCAATTCCCCACCCCCCCAGTGCCCCCCACCACCCCCCAGTGCCCCCCACCACCCCCCAGTGCCCCCCTCACCCCCAGTGCCCCCGCCACCCCCCAGTGCCCCCCCCACCCCCAGTGCCCCCCCCACCCCCAGTGCCCCCCCCACCCCCCAGTGCCCCCCCCCCACCCCCAGTGCCCCCCCCTAACCCCCAGTGCCCCCCACCCCCCAGTGCCCCCCCCCACCCCCAGTGTCCCCCCCACCCCCCAGTGCCCCCCCCCCACCCCCAGTGCCCCCCCCCACCCCCAGTGTCCCCCCCCCACCCCCCAGTGCCCCCCCCACCCCCCAGTGCCCCCCCCACCCCCCAGTGCCCCCCCCCACCCCCCAGTGTCCCCCCCCCCCCCCAGTGCCCCCCCACCCCCCAGTGCCCCCCACCACCCCCCAGTGCCCCCCCCACCCCCAGTGTCCCCCACCCCCAGTGTCCCCCACCCCCAGTGTCCCCCCCCCCCAGTGTCCCCCACCCCCAGTGTCCCCCCCCACCCCCCAGTGCCCCCCCCACCCCCCAGTGCCCCCCCACCCCCAGTGCCCCCCCCCCCCCCAGTGCCCCCCCCCCACCCCCAGTGCCCCCCCCCCCACCCCAGTGCCCCCCCCCCACCCCCAGTGCCCCCCCCCCCACCCCCCAGTGCCCCCCCCACCCCCCAGTGTCCCCCCCCACCCCCCAGTGTCCCCCCCAGTGCCCCCCCCCACCCCCCGTGCCCCCACCCCAGTGCCCCCACCCCCCCCCCCAGGTCGTCCTGGATTCGCGCGCGTGCGCCGTGACTCGCCAGGGGGAGAGACAGCGGAGAGAGGCGGCGGGTGAGGCAGAGTGGAGGGAGGGAGAGTGAAGACAGAGGAGAGAGAGAGAAGGGAGGGAGAGTGAAGAGAGTGTAGAGAGAGTGGAGGGAGAGTAGAGAGAGAGAGTGGAGGGAGAGTGAAGAGAGAGAGAGAAGGGAGAGTGAAGAGAGAGGAGAGAGAGAGAAGGGAGAGTGGAGGGAGAGTGAAGGAGCGCGCGCGCCTCGAGGTGAGTGCCTCGCCTCTCTCCCACACCCCGTGCGCGCGGCTCACCCTGGCACGTGTGTGGTACCCATGTTACACGTGTGTGGTACCCATGTTACACGTGCGTGGTACCCATGTTACACGCGTGTGGTACCCATGTCACACGTGTGGTTCCCATGTTACACGTGCAGTACACGCGTGTTCATCGTGCGCACAGCACGTGTCAACCACCGCGTGGACATTCTTGTAGCGTACACGTACAGTGCAGCGTACACACAGCACGCGTACACACGCTACAGTACATTACACACAGCACGCGTACACACAGCACACGTACACAGCACACGTACACACAGCACACGTACACACAGCACACGTACACACAGCACACGTACACACGCTACAGTACATTATACACAGCACACGTACACACAGCACACGTACACACAGCACACGTACACACAGCACACGTACACTACACTGCGCATAGAGTGCACAGCTTCACATAGCTGCATACGCCGTACTAATAATGGCAACACCTGTACGTGCTGTTCATGCACTACTACATACACTGCACTCCCCAATGCTGATGTAGCAGCAGCTACACACTTGAGGCCGAGTCGACCTAGGGGGGAAGGCCCAGAACCGGTTCATAAATCTGTCGCTGGCGGGAATCGAACTCGGCTCGCCGGGGACGCGGCGCGGTGCGCTAACCGTTCCGCCACCGCTCCCCCTCCACACAGACGCGCAGCGATTTGGGTGCCGCGCTTGAAGTAAATCGGCCTGGCCTGTGTTGTTGTTGTTGTGTGCTGCGTGTGTTGTTGTTGTGTGGCCTGTGTTGTTGTTGTGTGGCCTGTGTTGTTGTTGTGTGCTGCGTGTGTTGTTGTTGTGTGGCCCACGTTACAGAGGCAGACCCCCAACACGACTACGACTACCACGGTATTGCCAACGTGCCCTGCGCCCGTGTTTAAATCCTGCAGGCCGCGTTCACGTTGTGAAGCGTGCACACACCGCAACTGCCAGTTCTGTTGACGGCTGCACTGCGCGTACACTCACACAGACACACACACAGATACACACACAGACACACACACATACACTCACACAGATACACACACAGACACACACATACGCATACACAGACACACACTCACACACACAGACAGACACGCTTGCACGCTTGCCTACAGTTATGCAAGCGGATATACACAGCACACACTGCGTACAGTGCAGGCGCTTGTGCCCGCGTTATATGTAGTACACGTGCGCACCGTGCAGACAAGACACACGTGGTGTGTACTGTATTGTGTGTGTGTGTTGTGTGTGTATGTTGTGTATCACGGGCACAGCGCCCATGCGTGTACACACAACAACACACACAACTCTCTACACGTGATCTATAAACACGCAAGCCACAACGCGGAAGGCAAGCCCCGAGGACTGCCTATGCCACGTTAGTCGTGGTGATGGGGGTGGTGGGTCTTTGCTGCATCATACAGGGAAGTCTGCGTTGTATACTTACAAGGGGTGTGTGTGTACATGGGGGTCTAAACAGGTCGGTACTCCTCTGCACAGGAAGATTAAGTTGTGTACGTACAGGACTGGAACCCCCCTTGTGTACAGGACAGAGCCCTGTGAATATCAAAGCAGGATAAGGAACCCTCAGGCCCCCATGTGCTATATAAACCCAGGGGAGTGTAGCCGGATATAGAGTCGCACTTGGGTCTGTCGTGTAAGGTGTCCCGGCCCCTGTACGCGCATGGTTATGCTTTCTACACACAGGGATCTGACTCTGTGTTGGATTCAAGACAAGATCAAGAGCGAGAGGGAGAGCCTTGTAGGTCGAGGCCAGTGTCAATGCCAGTCAAGGCCACATTGCCCAGACGGGTTAAGTCAAGTTCAATCAGTGTGGTCCCCCTTATTGTTATCTCAGCTTTAGTATGTTGCATGAGACAACTTAAGGGAACTCCTTGAGTGGACATTTATGAAATTATGCTTGAGTGGTCCCACTTAAATGTTTGTAATGTAAGGGTTTTTGCCAAAGTGGAACGGGCATTGCACAAGTAAGACTTGAAGGTTAAATCGGGTAGCTCAAGTGAGATACAATACATAACACGTGTTTACATCTGTGATTTATGCTATTTAACAATACAACTTTCAAAAAAGAATTACAAAGATGAAGGAGCCACGTTTCAATAAAAGGTGTTTATCGACCGGGAAAATCATTTCGAATTCATGGACGATGATCAACAGACAACAATCATTTTGACAGAAATTGTCTTTGAAACGTGTGCAATGCTGGAGGAAGATTTACTTCTTCATACAAAGAAGGAAGACCTTTGGCACTTTGATGTTTTCCAACTGGCAAGTTCCGTGCAAAAAAGTTGAAGATACATTTTCATATCCACATAGTCACCATGAGCTGAATTGTACACAAAGTTTGCGAATGCGCTATTTTCAAAGCCAAGGAGATTTTATAATATTTCCAAATTAAAAAGGCAGAGAGTGGATACTGTTGATTTGTTTACAAATTTGCTGGAGTTCTTAAGGATTTGCGGGCTTTAAAGACTGAAAAGAAACCTGTGTAAATAGTAATAACGATGTACAGTATAAATATATATAGTGCATGATTACAAATATTGTTGCTTCTTGGCCTGGGTGTACCCCATGGTTTGTGGATTTTAAAGGAAAGTAAGAATGGCAGAGATTTTGTGGCAGAAATCTACAACGGGCTGCTGTTAGATGACATTGCCATCCTGAGCTTAACCCTTTAAGTCAGTCGGTACGGTAAATTAGAAGTAATTTCTTTAAATAGCGTGATTAATTAAAATATAAAACTACAGTACTTTGACGCATATATACTTTCTGTATGTTGCATGATAACTTCAAATCTCATTTAATAACACGGGTCATTAAACATGATTCTTGTCAGCTTAAGGGACATTTTTCATTACTTTCATATGGAACTTGGTATAAATCCTGAACAAGCCAACAAAATAATAACTGCGTGTGCGGCGTTGTTCAACATTAAAAAGAGCGTGGTCTCCACATTGAGGAAAAAATGAGGAACATGCACAGGGATTGATGAGGAGCAAGACAGTTGTACTCCGATATGGCCTTTTTTACGTGCCACTTTTGGAAAGAAATGTGCAGTCACCTTAAGATCATTGCATAAAACACCTTAACCATTCCCTGTAGGGAAATACAAAGTTACCCGTAAGTGGACACTAAAACACTTAAAAGTGTTTGATAAAACCAGGCACAGATCCTTTAGTCTGATGCCGGTATGAAGGTAGAATGCCTCTAAGAAAATCCCCCAACCGATGGCACACCCCTGAGGACAAGGTCAGTGACAAGAACTTATAAGATGTCCTCGAGTCGGCCACGTGGCCAGCGACTGATCTCGAGGACGTGTCTGTCCTGCATCTTGGAAGTGTCTACTGCACAGTTTCTTGTGTATCTAACAAGTGTACTGACCTGCGCTGTGCCCCTGGGTTTGTCCTAAACTTAAAGATATCTCAGTTTCCTTCTACCTATCTGGCCCTACGTTTCCTGTACTCCATGGGTCTATGAATCTTGTATTTTGGGGGAATGTGTGATACCCTCTTCAGTGTCTCAGATCTATGGACTGTTCTCTCCTGTATCCTTGACCTCTGCCGTGTTACTTAAACTTGGGAGCCTTTCATGCTCTATCTTGAGCATTGCCTTGCCCTCTATTCTGGGCAGGAAAATACTGTCCTTCCCTGTACTGCATGGCACTGCCATAACTCGTGACCTTCATTTCCTAAGCAACAGTACAATTCTGTGTTGGCTCTCAGGCCTATATTTGTCAGGCAGCTGAACCCATTGACCTGGGCAAATACATCATCCTTAACGTGGCTCTATCCCAAACTGAAAATACACCCTTTGCATTCTACTCCATTATAATTGTGCAGAGTATTTGATTAATCATTGTATTATGATTTGCTAACCGTTGTGTTACAGTCCTGATTTATTTATTTGGCACTTCCATTTTCCCACGACCCTCATTTGCAGTCCACCAGTTTAGCTGAAGCGATTTCAGCTGTCAAAGAGCAGTGTTAATGTCTACGATTCTAATAACACCAAATGTACAGTATATGCATTTATGTTTGCCAGTCTATTATTAACTTTAAAAAGATATTGACCTCAGTAACTTTTATCTGGCTGGAATGTTAGGACGAAGGTTAATGCGCCGAGCTATGAACTCAGTAACCTAACCCGGGTTTGATTCCTGGCCATGGCTTTTATCTACGGCAGTAGGAGACTGGGAGAGTCTAGTGATACCACGAGAGCAGTGTTTCTCAAAATGTGTTGGCCCACGAACCACTCGGCTGATGCAAACAATTCCGCGGACCACACAGCCCCCCACCCCTGTGACAAAATTCATTCACTTGTCTCTAAATACCAGTAATACAACATTATTCATAAAAACATTTTTTACGCAGATATACGTGTTTTTTTTGTGTGTGTGTGGGGGGGGGGGCATTTAGATCTTAGGGTTAGGATAGTTCAATCAGGGTAGTCTATCTAACTTTATTCCAAAATTAAATATAAGTAGATGTGAATTAATGTCCGAAACAAAAGATATAGGCTTTGTCATTATTTCTGGATCAACTGCATTTGCATCACAGCCCCCGGACCACCTGGAGGCCTGTCGAGGACCACTGGTGGGCTGGGGACGACGCTTTGAGAACCACTGCTCTAGAGGGTTTGTTTTCCTCTTCTTGAGTTTCTGCAACCACAGCGTCATTTCTGCTCAATATTATTGCTACACCAGCAAGCAGTGTGTAAGTACTGCAAAGTGGATGGTTAAGACTTGGTGATGATATTTGCACGCCGAGGCCACGAAGTAATAGCAGGCCATCTCATCGAGGGGTCGTTAACGCAAGGCGATGTCAGAATCAGAATCTTTATTTATCCTGGAGATATCCGATGAGCTATGAATTTATTTTTCAGAGATGTCAGTCGGGGCAGGTTATAAAGTTGCAGCAAGAGCAATGTGCT